ATTTTCTCTCTCCCACCCTCTCCCCTAGCCACTCAGCGTTCATTCTCTCAGTCCACACTCTCTCCCCCTTCCTCTCTCAAACAGTCATTCGTCCAGTCATCGCGTCGTCGCGTACAAACGATGATAATCGCGTTTCGGCGACACAATATCCACGCACACCGTTCACTTCTGGAGACTGGTGTCTCCGAGCTTCCCTTCTTTATTACACGTATCCTATTCCTTCCACCCTTTCTCTTTCTCGACAGCAACCGTTGTCGTTAACAGGAGGACGCGATCCGACGGTTCTTCTCTCGATCGTGCCTTCCCCTCTGAAATGTTCGTTCCGTTGGCCGTCCGTCGCGCGATGGTCACACGTGCGTGATTCGACTTGGCAGCTTAGCAACAATGGCAGAGATTTTTCCGTTTGAAGTGAACGCAATGGGGAGAGCGTGCGCAACCAATGATACAAATTCAGACCTGCGTCCAACCGAGGGGTGACAAGAATTTCTCGCTTTTGTCCGGATAATTGCCGAAAGAAAAGAGACAAGCAATGATTCTAAAAGGGATTCGAAGAGGTTCGGCTTACAGATTCAAACCACCGGCGAAAGACAACGCGCGTTCTCTCTCTCTCTCTCTCTCTCAAGAATCAACCGTTTTATTTTGGCTCGTCCACGTGAAACCCCGTTCTTCTAGCTCGACGACACGACCGTTAGCCATTCGTGAACACGTTCCAACCTTGATCCGTCGAATGCCGTCTAATAATTGTTAATAGGCCTACTATAAAGTCTACGATGCTCTCGCGGTGTCGCGGGTAACATCGTCATCGTTCCGTATTTCTTTTTTGTATTTTTTTTTGTTCGTTTATTATTTACTTTTTCCGTGTGTGTGTTTTATGTGAGAGTGTGTGTGATCGTTCATCCATTCAATTCGTAATTATCCGTTTTTCGTGTTTTCTTTATCCATTTTTTCTTTTTTCTTTTTTCCCTTTTTTCCTTTTTACTTGCTGTTGTTGTTGTTGTTGTTGCTGCTGCTGCTGCTGCTGTTTGCTGTTGTTGCTCGTAACGAAAGAACGTTCATTTTCCGGTTTAGTTTGCAGGAATGGTCCAAATATACATATCTATATAATATACTTTTTTGGTTTTAACGAGAGAAAAGAACTTTCTTCTTCCCAAAATTACAATTCGGTTAAGCGGCGTTTATTCGTTCACGTTGATCTGGTAAGGCGCGTCCGCGATGATTTCCTGCGGACAATGGTTCAACGTTTCGGTAAGATAGTAATAATGATTATACGGTATAATAAATAATCGCAAATTATGTTATTGGAAAATAACACTTACGGTCGTAGTACACTCGATTGTTGCCGCCGCAACAGCCTTATCGCTTATTTCGATCTCTTCGATAGCCTACAACAAAGACAAACGCGACGTCATTAATGTTACAACATTCGTTTATCGATTAATTAATAAGTTCTTCCAGTAGACAACATATCAACGTCAATTATCAGATGGCCCCTCGCTCTCTATTCTTCGTTGGACATTAACTAATCGTTAATGGCCTCAGAATCGCTCGTGCTTGCGCAGCGCGAACGATCTTTTGGCGATCATCATAAAACGTATCGATCAATTACATGATTCATATCCTCTACCAAACTGAAGCGTTTATGTATTAAATATTTATATATATTTTCTTCGATCAAATGAATCTTCCAAACAAAATGTCAGGAAAATAAAACTGAGTCTTATCTAGAAACAGAATAAAGTTTACAATAAACGTCCCTAAATCTGCTATTATTAACTATTAATAAAAGATTCTAAAGAATTGCAACTATTACAACAATTATCTTGATTTCTCTGAAAAATGGAGCCCAAAATAAACGGCTCAATTTCCCACAAGTTGCATTAAAAGACACTAACAAAATACAGAACTCTAAAAGTCATATATTCCTTCTGAACAGTTCGATGAGAATTTCACAACTATTTCGTACGATGATCGATTACCTTGGCTACCGAGGCAACATCTTCGGTGATGGCCGGCGCGGATGGCGGAGGAGCAGGTGTCTCGATTGGGACGGCTGGAGGTGTAACCTTCTCTTCTGAGCTTTCCGTCGTGCTGTCGTGGCCCACGTTATTTTCTACCGGTGCCTCTGACTCGGGAGTGCTCTGGAAAACACACGCCTGCTCGTTAGACAGTGGCAAGCCCGCTGAACAGATCGCGACGACCGCGGCAAGTCCAAAATCCCAGCATGCTACGAGGACAAAAGACGTAAAGGTCGATTCCGTCTAGCTAAATTCGAGGTGGGAGGGATTCGAAGGAACGGAGACGGAAGTTTCTTAAAGCCAGATTCCCATCCGCATTTGCCGTTAGTTGTGCCCTTAATCCGTTAACCGAGGAACTCGATCGCGAGCGATTCAATAACCGACGATTAACGCTTTCACCGTCACAGCTAATTCTACGGAATATCTATGATCTCGTTAGTGAATATCTAATTCATTCAACATCGTACTGCGAACACTTGTATCTAATTTATCGAACACTGTGCTATGAATAAATCTCAATCTAATCGTCGATTCGAAGCGGTAGTGAACTATATTGCCGGTGAAAGCGTTAAATTGATCAAAAGGACTTTGACGATGTTCTCGTTTGTGAATATTCATTCCTCTCGGTTAACATATTAAGGGTAAATTGTGCGCACTATGAAAAGCGTGGTCCGACGAACTATCCCAACGTCTAGCCGCGAGAAATGGCGAGAGATCGAATGGACAACCGGACGGAATCGCTCCTCATGCTTCGGACAGCCCAAAGAATCGGGAAACCCTCTGCTCGCGCGGAACCCCGCGTATAAGAAAAACTCTGCATGCGCAATACAAGATGCTGACGACACAACGGATGCAATTACGGAAACAGCATGATAGTTTGCCGATCTCTAATCAGAATTTCCAACTCTCTAGAATGAAAGTGTACCGCATTGGAATCGTCGTTAATCATCATCATCGAAGTATATACTAAGTGAAACACGACACGTGTGTGTGTGTGTGTGAAACAGAGAAAAAAAAATGAAACGTCTTTACGTCTATCAATGAGATTCGCTCTAAGAAACATCATTATTAATAATATCGATTTTCTAGGTCGAGCTCTAAGAAAAGGTTGCGTAACAGACAGCGTTCATTGAAAACAGTGAGATACAATGTATGAATATTTTCATCTACCGATCTCTAAGATCTCTCGAAGTGCGCACCGATCGTTTCTCGATCGGACGAATCAATTTCTGTGCGTCGAGCTACGATAGGTGGATACGGAGTTCGAAAAATGATATTATACGCTCTAAAAGTTTCCAGCGCCTCGATTCGAGAAAATTAACAAAGTCGTTGGTTAATGATTGTCAAGAAAACCAAGAGGCAAACAACACAGGGTGATATGGCAGTAAATGGTGACAATGTTTCTTATCGGTCTTTCGATTTTTCTTTTCTCTTTTGATTCTTTTTTCTTTTTTGGTGGTGGTCGATGGATCGGAAGCTTCTGGGAGGGGACAGATATATAATGATGTATGTATATGTATAATATCTATATATACAAATATATAAATATACATATATATATATATATAAATATATATATATAAATATATATATAAATATATATATAAATATTGTCAGCCAACAGAGTAGGAGACGCTGTTTTGTTAATCACGCTCGACAGAACGAAGGATGCATTCGACGAGACCCTTTTCTGAACACGGGGAATGATGACCGGTGATTTCGCTTGAGAAAAGGAGGATATACGGGACACGATGATGAGATATATATACCAGGGGATGAGACGTTATTGGTTTTCGAGGACCAATCGGATTCGGTCGGTCTCGTGATTACGTTTTCTCCATATCGTGCATGGAAACTGGCCGAACGTGCGTGTGTAACAGACATTTATTACTTTTTTTTATATGTATATATATATATATATATATTTTTTTTTTCGAGAAATCTTTCTCATGGATGAAATCGTGCAAAAAACCCACAGACGTCGATGTCAGTCTCAGTCTCGTTCGATTAAACCTTCGGGAGTCGTCGACGGAACGTTCATCTTTGTCGAAAACGTCCTCTACACGTTTTAATATTTTTAACTTTTTTTTGACTTCGTTCATATCGTTTTAGGATCGAAGGTGCAACATTCCGAGGAGTATTTTTTTTGGTCGACGTTCGGTAGACATAGTTTCAGTTTTGTACTTGGTTTCAACAGAGGAACAAAGGTGTCCAGGTAACAGACAGAAGGGGATGATTCTGAATATTATAATCGAAGAGGAGCACATGGAAACCAGGATAAGTCGATATTCTCGAGACTATATACCACAGAGAGACGGTGGTCGTTTGTGCGGACCGTAACGACGAGATTATATACTTGGAACGAGGCGC